CCATAAGGAGCTCCACCGAAGGTTCCAGTGGCGCAGTTCGCATGCGTCTCCCCCGCCCAGCACAACGCTTCGGGGCCCCAGAAGGACCTCCACCAAAGGTCTCAGTGGCGCCGTTCGCATGCGTCTCCTCCGCCCAGCACAGCGCTTCGTGGCCCCATAGGGAGCTCCACCGAAGGTCCCAGTGGAGCAGTTCGCATACGTCTCCTCCACCCAACACAACGTTTCGTGGCCCCACAGGGAGCTCCCCAGGAGGTCCCAGTTGCCCAGTTCGCATGCGTCTCCCGCTCCCCGGTCGGCGGCAACTCTGCGTTCGTTCCACCCTTTCCTCCGCCGCTGCATCTTCTCCCGGCACCGCATTCTTTTCCCCCCCTTCCCTTCAACTTCGCTGTCTATTTCCACCCACACTCATCCCCCACTCATCGCTTCCCGTCTCTCCCAATCGTTTCGTGGTTCTCTTCTTTCTCCCCCCCGCCCAGCCCAGCGTTTCGTGGCCCCACAGGACGCTCCACCGAAGGTCCCGGTGGCGCAGTTCGCATATGTCTCCCCTCCCCAGCACAACGCTTCGTGGCCCCAGAGGGACCTCCACCAAAGGTTCCAGTGGCGCAGTTCGCATGCGTCTCACCCACCCAGTACAGCGTTTCGTGGCCCCATAGGAAGCTCCACCGAAGGTCGCAGTGGCGCAGTTCGCATGCTTCCCCCCTGCCCAGCACAGCGTTTCGTGGCCCCAGAGGAAGCTTCACCGAAGGTCCCAGTGGCGCAGTTCGCATGTCTCCCCGCCCAGCACAACGCTTCGTGGCCCCATAGGGAGCTCCACCAAAGGTCCCAGTGGCGCAGTTCGTATGTGTCTCCCCCACACCGCACAGCGCTTCGCGGCCCCATAGGGAGCTTCACCGAAGGCCGGAGTGGTGCAGTTCGCGTGTGTCCCCCCCGCCCAGCACAGCGCGTCGTGACACCATAGGGAGCTCCACCGAAGATCCTAGTGGCGCAGTTCGCATGCGTCTCCGCCGCCCAGTACAGCGTTTCGTGGCCGCAAGGGGAGCTCCAGCGAAGGTTCCAGTGGCAACGTTCGCATGCGTCTCCCCCATCCAATAAAGCTTTTCCTGGCCCATAGGGCGCTCCACGGAAGACGATATTCACATTTGCGGTATTCACAACTGCATGCTGTATGGTTGGGTTCTCCGCCAGGCTAATTTCGTCTTCGACTCAATCCTGGGGAGCCCTGTCTCTGTCCAGAGCAGTCGAGCAGTCGTCACGAACACGTCTCTGCAACTGGCGCCAGGCGAGTCCCGCCCATGCTCACAAGCGGTTGGCGCAACGCTGCGAAGGATGCAAACACGTGCGTGCGTGCGTGCGCGCGCGCGCGCGCGTGTGTGTGTGTGTGTGTGTGTGTGTGTGTGTGTGTGTGTGCGCGTGTGGTGTGTGTGTGTGTGTGTGTGTGTGTGTGTGTGTGTGTGTGTGTGTGTGTGTGTGTGTGTGTGTGTGTGTGTGTGTGTGTGTGTGTGTGTGTGTCGGCCACCTTGTCTGCTTTTCCAACCCCTCATGCATGGCGACACGATTCGCTACAACGGTATCCCCGTTTAGGTCGCCCTCCGCCAGCGCAGTTACCCTGCCTAACCGCCGACGCAACAAACAAGTGTGTGAGAGAGAGTGTGTGTGTTTGTGTGTGCGCGTGTGTGTGTGTGTGTGTGTGTGTGTGCGTGTTTGGGGGGAGGAGTAAGATGAGGAGACAAATGAAAACACGATGGCGACGAGGAGACCAGGTGGAGGAGAGGAGGGGGATGAGGAGGGGCCCATGCGAGAAGTCTACAGAAGGCGTTGGCAGCGCCGCCCGACGCAGCTCGAAGGCCTCCGACCCCGACTGTGTGAGAGTTCACGCAAAGCGCTGCCCCAGAAGGATGCCGCTTGAGCTTGCTCTTGGCAGACCCTTGTCAGACGAAATGGGAGGTCAGCACAAGGGGGCTCGCGAAGCAGCTCACGCAGCCAATTTCTCCGACGCCTCCCAGCGGCGCCGGGAGGCGCCCGTGCATCGAGGAGAGCGCCCAGCTCTGCCCCAGAATGGTGCCGCTTGAGCTTGCTCTTGGCAGACTCTTGTCGGACAACATGGGGGGTCAGCACAAAAGGGGTTGGGATGTGTTGGGCAGCGGGCTGCCTGAACCCGTGGGACGCAAGGGTACCCTGGCCCGCCCCCGCTCTTGCCGATCTGGCGCCGCAGAACGCAGAGGCAAAGACTTAAGGACGCCAAAGCAGATAAGGAACCGCGCTTTATACACCGAAGCTTTTTCCGGCTCCGGACCAAAACTCGCACAAGAAAGCAGATCTGGGTGTATACGGGATCCTGGTGTATACGTTTGTCGCTGTTTCCCATGGAAAATGCGGAAACCCGGACGTCGTCCCCGACCCTCGAAAGGCCCTGGGATTGAGAAACAGCCCGCCACCGGTAGAGTATATGTTCCGGTTTCCGAGGCAAGGCGCGTGTCTTTGACATTGTTGTTGACTGTGTTCTACCCCGTTCGTCCGACCCGGTCTCGACAAAGATGCGTCGTCTTGCCTGCAGGGTTCGGAGGCGACGCTCCCAGCACGCTCCAGAGAGAAAAGCGTGTGGGCGCTGGGCGGGCCTGCGGCCCAGGATGGTGAGGCCTGGATCGTTACCTTCGAGGGAGGAGGACCAGGAGGAGGAGGGGGAGGAGGAGGAGGAGGAGGAGGAAGGAGGAGGAGGAGGAAGGAGGAGGAGAGTGAGGAGGAGGAGGAGGAGGAGGAGGAGGAGAGGAGGAGGGGAGGAGGGAGGAGGAGGAGGAGGTAGGAGGAGGAGGAGGAGGAGGAGGAGGAGGAGGAGGAGGAGGAGGAGGAGAAGAGGAGGAGGAGGAGGAGGAGGAGGGAGGGGAGAAGGAGGAGGAGGAGGAGGAGGGGAGGAGGAGGAGGAGAGAGGAGGAGGAAGAGGAGGAGGAGGAAGGAGGAGGAGGAAGGAGGATGATTAAGAGGAGGAGAGGAGGGGAAGGAGGAGGAGGGGGAGGAGGAGGAGGAAGGAGAGGAGGAGGAGGAGAGGAGGAGGAGGGGAGGAGGAAGGAGGAGGGGGAGGAAAGGGAAAGGGGAAGAAAGGAGAGGAGGGGGGGAGGGGAGAGGAGGGAGAGGGGAGGGAGGAGGAGGATGAGGAGGGTGAGGAGGAGGAGGAGGGGGAGGAGGGGGAGGAAGAGGGTGGGGAGGGGGAGGGGGAAAAGGACAAGCCAGGTGCTATGGCGTCATATCTGACGTCCTACCCCTCCCTCCCATCCCTTACCATGGCGTAGATCTCCTCTCTATTCGTACAATCGGATGTCGAGCAGGGCAATGATCGCGAGAGGGCGCGCGATGCATCGTAGAGCACGGCATGGCATGGGCTAAAGAGCACGGCAGAGCGTATAATGTCACAGCATGGCGTGGCATTGCGTAGTGAAGCATTACGTCACACAGCATTGCAATGCAAAGCATGGCATCGCACAACGGCGCAGAACAGAACACCGCACAGCATGTCATTGGAGGGTAACAAGATCGTCTTCGAAGGGTTTGGGCCGGTCTGGAGTCGCGACTCCATGTCTAGCTCCCTGGGCTCCGCCAGAGGCTCCCCACAAGGCGGGGCTGATGGAGAGTACCCGCTGGCTCTGCTTGCAACATCGCCTCCTAAAAACAGAAAAGTGGCTCCCGCCTGCTATTTCCTTCTAACGCCGCCGCCCCGAAGTGTGGGCCTTCTGCGGCCCCCCCTTCGGATACCAGATGTCTAGTGACTTGCGATACTTTTTTTTTGGGGGGGGGGCCTGTCTGGACGGACCGAAAACGCCCGCGCTGCAGCGGGAGCACGCTTTAGAACAACCAGAGGCGCAGAAATGGGGCCAGCGCTGCAGCGGGAGCAACATTTTGAAGGACCGAAAATAATCGGATTGCCACAAACACATGTGAAAACAAAGAAATGAGGTCAGCGCTGCAGCGGGAGCACGATTCGGAACGAGCGGAAGCGCGGAAAGGAGGCCAGCGCTTCAGCAGAAGCAACATTCTGATAACAAAAAAAACCAGAGCGAAAACCCAATTCCTGGGAATCCCGTGTAAAAAAACATACGTGGAGGGGGGCCGAACATCTTCCGGACGTCATCCAGGGAGAGACGACAGTCGTATTCAGATTGTGTAATTGTGGAGGAGGAAGGGGGAGGGGGAGGGGGAGGCGAGGGGGAGGGGGGATGGGGAGGAGGGGGGGGGAGGGGGAGGAGGGGGAGGAGGAGGAAGAGAGGGCTGCAGATTGGTTGCTGATCGGGCAGAGCACCCCTCGGAGCGCTTGGAGCCACCAGGGCATGCCTCCATTGGAGGCGCAGGCAGCCAGCGGCACCACGCTCCACCGTCTCCCTCCAACATGCTGGACTCCCCCCTTAGAACAGGGCTGGACCTAAACGCTGTGTTTCGTTTTGTGTTCGTTTCGTGTTTCGTTTTGCTCTACCTGTTCTCTTGTACCCCCCTTCCAACACGAAAACCAAAACACAGCCGAAGTCCAGCAAAACAGCGTTTAGGTCCAGCCCTGCCTTAGAACAATAAACACCTGCATAGACGTAAACTGCCGGAGGTCCGCGCGGACTTCTTGGACCGTCTCTCGACGTCCCATTGGCGCGCGGAGCGCGCCAGGGGCGGCGCCAGAGGCTCAGCCAGGGAATCCAGCGCCGATCCAAGAAATCCGCTAGGACATCCGAACAAAAAATATGGTTACGGCACGCTCGTGTCGTGCCGACTTCGGCGTTGGTTTCTGACACCGCGGGGATCGTTCAACCTTGAACGGTCGGCCGTTTTCGAAGCGTCAGCTCGTGCAGCATCGACCGATTCTGGGTCGCTGGCGGCGTTCCGTGTTGAACGCAGGCTGCGGGGCCGCCGCCGGTCGACACGACGCGAAACCAACGTGTGCGGCGCTCCTTCTTGTTACTGCCGTTAGACATCTAATTATTCTTCTTCTTCTTCTTCTTCGATCTCTTCGCCTCCCCCCCCGGCGCCTGCAAGAAGGTCGGCGCCTCCCCCAGTCGCAGGCTCACGAGTTCGTTCAGCCTCTGCAGCGAGCTGCCGTCCGGCACCAGGCCCTGCCGCGCGGCGCGGCGCGGCGCGGCCCGAGGCGGGGGCGAGCCCGCGGCTCTGGTCGACTGCCTTCCGGGACCTGCACGTCGCACTTCGCGTGTGGCCGGCGGCGCCCAGGACACGCCGCGGAAGACATCGGCGAACACCCCAAGAGGCGCCCGAGAAGCCCCCCAGGAGGCTCCAGGAGGCCCACCAGAGGTCCCAAAGAGGCATCCAGAGAGGCCCCCCAAAGGCCTCGAAAAAATTGCCAGGAGGCCCCCAAGAGACCTGCCAGGAGCCCCCCCACGGGGTCGGCGGTGCGGCGTAAGCCCAAGAATGACGAACACTCGTGCCGCATTCCTTTGTCATTCTTGGGCTTACGCCGCACCGCCGACCCCTCGGGGGGCTCCTGGCAGGTCTCTCGGGGGCCTCCTGGCAGCACTTTTAAAGCCTTTTGGGGGCCTCTTTTAATGCCTCTTTGGAGCCTCTGGTGGGCCTCTTGGAGCCTCTTGGGGGCTTCTTGGGGACCTCTTGGGGCCTCCTGGAGGTGTCAATCCCCCCTCCAATGATCATGCCCGGTGCGGAGGGCCCGAAACGGAGCATTGGAGAAATGCGCCGTAGTACGTAGCACCCCGCAGGTGCGGACAAGAGCGGGGGAGCGGCGGGGTCGTCGGCAGTCTGCGAAGCTCTGAAGAAGCCCGCCGCAGGCGCGAATTTTAGCACATTGCACAAAGAGACCGTTGCAGGCGCCGAATTTTCGTCAAAACAGTGTGGGTGGGTCGCGTCTGGTTTGCGGGGAGGTCGCCGATGGGTCGCGGGTGGGTCGCGGATGGGTCGCGGATTGGGTCGTGGGGGGCCCATCCTTATCTTTATAGGACGACCATTGGCCTAGAACCCCGTTTGTCGGCATCCCCCCAGCCCCCAGCAACCAACAACCAAACAACTCTACTCGTCCCTCATGCTTACAACTTCCCATGTCCAATGGAGTAACCGAATTGGATCCCTACGAAGCTGGATACAGCTCTAGTCGGATTCCTACAGGGCTGGACGCAGCTCTAGCAGGATCCCTACAGGGCTGGACGCAGTGTTAGTAGCACCCCAACAGAGCTGGATACAACCCAAACGAGGGGGTCCTTGGAACACTCGATACAACCCTATAGGCAGCCGTACAAGCTGGATACAGCCCCATACGGATCCCCCATGGCTCGAAATAGCGCTAGAGGGATCCCAACATAGCTGGATGCAGCCCAGAAGAAATTAGATCTGAGTGGGAAAATGCTCTGACGGGCCAACATCACTGGATACAGATTAAAAGAAATCCCTACAAGGGTGGATACAGATCTGAAAAGAAATCCCGACACATATGGATAGAGCTCTATAGTGATCCCTCAAGAACCGGATGCAGCTCTCGTGCGACCCGTACAAAGCTAGATCAAGCTGTTTCGGGATCCCTGCACAGCCAGATGCAGCTCCAATGGGATCCCCACTGAGCTGGGTACGGTTCCATGGAGATCCCTACAAGAATTGTATACAACTCTGGTAGGGCCCCTTACAGGTTAACATATAAACATACTAGAACCATCGGATCCTCGTAATCGTCACCATCGCCACCCTCATCGTCATCATCTTCATCGTCGTCGTCATCGACATCGACATCATCACCATCACTATCACCATCAACAATATCATCACCACCAGCATCAGCAACACCATCGTCATCATCGTCGTCATCATCGCAATCGTCATCATCGTCATCATCGTCACCCGCATCACCATCATCATCGTCATCATCGTCATCATCATCATCGTCGTCGTCGTCATCATCACCATCGTCATCGTCATCACCATCATCGTCGTCGTCTTCGTCGTCGTCCTCGCCCTCAGAATCCCTCCCCGAGACCGAGCGTCTTGGTAACTAGGGATGTGGACCTGAGGCCGCCATGCCTGGGTGATGGGCCAGTGGCCTGCCTGATGCCTGTTCGGATATGGGTGGTGGAAGTTTTTCGGAGGCCTCTTGGAGAGCTCTAGGGGGGCTCTTGGGTACTTCGTGGTTGCCTCTTGGGGCCCCTTGGGAATCTCCTGGGGGCCTTTTGGAATCCTCTTGGGGCTTCCTGGGAGCCTGACCGCAAGGGGTTTCCCTGGGGGCCCCTTGGGGGCCTGTTGGGGCTTCCGGGGGGCCTCTTGGGAGCCTCTTGATGGCCTCTGGGGGCGTCCTAGGAGCCTCTCAGGCCGGAGACCTTGAAATATCGCGCTCTTCGGGCCCTCTTGAGTCGCTCTTGGGGCTCTCTTGGGGCGCTCTCGAGGCCCTCTTGAATTATCTGGGGGGCCTCCTGGGCCGTCCCTGGGCTCTCTTGGGGGCCTCTTCGGCCGTCTTGTCGCGATCTGAAGGGCCTCTGACGCCGTCGGGGACCGTGGGGAGGCGGAACATGGGAGAGCGCAGAAATGCTTCGAAAACCATCGGAAAAAAGGATAATCTTGAAAGCCCTCTTGACGTGTCGTGGCGTGTTTGGCAGCGGGCCTGGGCAATCCTGGGAGCCCTGGGACCCCCCCAATCCCCCCATGGGGGAGTACGGCACCGGCCCGGCCCCCCCCCGGCCTACTCTTCCATACAGACATACATATCTATATATATATATATGTATACACATAACTCTAATATGACCCCTACAAGCTAGCTGGAGGCAGCTCTCGTCGCATCCCAACAGAGCTGGCTACAGCTCTGTAGAGATCCCTACATGGATGGACCAGCTCTGGTAGAGCCCCCACAAAGTTGGATACTGCCTTATACGAACCCCATACACAGCTGGAACCCTGTTTATAAAGATCCTACAGCGTGGATGCAACACGAGCAGGGTCCCGACAGAACTGGGTACAGATCTGTATAGGAAACCCAAGAAGACTGCAGAGCACCCTATGGGGATCCCGACCGAGCTCGGTACGCCTTCCTTCAGACTTGGGTGCAGGATCTACACAGACCCCAACAGAGCTTGATCCAGCTCTGTAGGAGCCCCTGCTGATCTAGATGCTGGTCTATGGAGATGAATAGCTGGATACCGCTCTGGTGAGATCCCGGCTAAGCTCGATACGACTTAAGTGGGGCCCATGCAGAACTTACACGGGCCTATCAGAACCCTATATCAGAGGTGGGTACAGCTCAAATTCGATCCCCACCAAGCTGGACACAGCTCACATAGAATCCAACTGGAGCTTGAAACCATTGATTTCCAGCTGCATGGGGATATTGACAAAGTTAATATCTCCATACAGCTGGATACAACTGTATGCGGGCCCCTATCGAGCTAGATCCTGGTGTAGTGGGATCCCCATGCGAGCCAGGCGCAGGTCTAGTCGGATCCCTATAGAGATGGATACAGTTCTGGTGGGATGCGTTAAATGCTTGATACGGTCCTATTGGAATCCCCATTGAAGTCGTCCTCGTCATCGTCTCAATCGTAGCTGCCATCGTAGTGGTAATCGTACTAGTAATGATGGTGATCGCAGTAGTGGTCAAAGTAATGTCAAAACAGTGATGGTAGTAAGCGCATTTGTTTTCTAATAGTGGTATTCGCAATAATCTCAGGCGTCATTGCAATAGAAAGAGTACTCGCAACACGTATAATCAAGACTCGTAATAGTAGCAGCAGCAGCAGCAGCAGCAGCAGCAGCAGCAGCAGCAGCAGCAGCAGCAGCAGCAGCAGCAGCAGCAGCAGCAGCAGTAGTAGTAGTAGAGTATAGAGTATATTAAGTAGTAGTAGTAGTAGTAGTAGTAAGTAGTAGTAGTACGTAGAGTAGTAGTATTAGTATTATTAGTAGTAAGTAGTAAGTAGTATTAGTAGTAGTAGTACGTAGTCGTAGTAGTAGTAGTAGTAGTAAAGTAGTAGGAGTAAAGGTCGTAGTAGTTGTGAAGTAGCAGCAGCGCAGCAGCAACAGCAGGGCAGCAACAGCAGCAGCAGCAGTAGTAGTAGTAGTAGTAGTAGTAGTAGTGGTGGTGGTAGTGGGAGTGGTAGTGGTAGTCGTAGTACTAGTAGTAGTGGTAGTAGTGGTGATAATGTGGGTAGTATTCGTGGTAGCAATAGTAGTACTCGTAGTAGTAGTAGTAGTAGTAGTCGTAGTAGTAGTAGTAGTAGTAGTAGTAGTAGTAGTAGTAGTAGTAGTAGTAGTAGTAGTAGTAGTAGTAGTAGTAGTAGTAGTAGTAGTGGCAGTAAACGTAGTGGTAGTAGAAGCCCCCTACCGCGCGGTGGTAATAAGGATCGTAAAAGCAATCGTAATAACTGTAGTACTAGCAAGAGCAGTAACCGGAGAAACAACATGAATGATAGTAGCGGTGCTGGCAATGCACGTCGTAGAAATCATACTCGTTGCTGCCGTGGTGATGTCATGGTTGGTACTTGACTTAAGCATCGAAGTCGTACAAGCGGTGGTAGTAGTGGACGTGGCAGTAGTACTGGTGATAGCAATCGAACTTGCAGGCAATAGTGGTAATAATAGTTGGACTCGTAAGACTGATAAACATAATACGTCAAACTTATACGACTTGGAATCGTAGTGGCCGAGGAAAAATCGTAGGGGCTCGACCACAAGACACCTGCCACAAGACACCCAACCCTGAGACCGCAGGACGTCCATCGATTTTTGGTGTGGGAACGTCACGCTCCCCGTAGCAAAACCATCGAAACCCAAGAAACGCAGGGCACACTGGAGGCAAGCAGGGTGTCTTTGGCATGGGTCTCCACTGTAGCTTCTCGTCGGCGGCAAGCATGTCTCCACGTGCCCGGCCCCGCGGCCTGGTCTGCTCGGCCGCAGCCCCACGATTACAGGGAGACCTTGTCCGGGAGCCCCGCTCGGGACCTTCGGCAGGTGCGTGTCGTGACGACGTCGGAGCTGGTCCCAGACGCGGCGTGGGCCTTTCAACCTGGAGCGATCGCGGCTTCTCAGACAGCGCACATCGCATTACATGTCGGCCGAATCTGGGCCCGTTCAGCCTTGAACGCCTTTGCTGATGTCGGCGCCGCGTCGGCACGACACGAA